CTTTTAAGTATCTTTGCGTCTTTTGAAGATCCTCCTCCTTGTGTCCAAGACATTGTATGAGCTGGGCATTTTGGCATTGAATATCTTTAAGCTGACGTCGCATGGACGACAATTCCCTAGCACTGTCTTTGAAATTACTCCTTAAGTCTTGAATGACTTCTCCTCTTTCATTCAAATCTTCCCTCAATTTGTCTAACACACGCTCTGCATGGGCTTCCTTCTTTTTCATTACCAGGCTCGATGCGGACACTCCTCTTGGTCTTTGTACCAGATTCTTCAGCCGTTTTCCCACGCCTGTTATTAACGAACCCCTCTCCTGTGTATATCTTTTTGTTCCTTTTTGAATGAGATTCAGTCGATAAGCTTCACCCGTTTTAGCCTTAGCCTTCCTCTTGAAAAACTTTTTGTGCGACTTTTTGTGTGCTATTTGTTGAGTTAACTCACTGATCTCATTATGAGCCTCCTGCAATGACCATTCTTTCTCTCTAAGAGATATAAGAGTCTTCTCTCGTAGGTCACTCATCTCTGCTAATCGCTTCAGAAGTGTTTCAATGTCCTCAGTCAATCTTTTGTCGTTATGAGAGTTACACTCAGACACTTCGACAGCCTTTCTCAGAGTTTCTTTTTCCGACTTCTCCCGTTCCAGTTCGTTTGTGAGCATATCGATAGTGGCAGTAGCTTCCTGTAACGAACTTTCTTTTTTGTTTAGAGACATAAGAGTGGCGTTTGTCAGCTCATCTTCTGCACGTAACTGATCCTCAAGAAGTTCAATTCTCTTTTCAAGCTCTTTCTCTCTACAAGAACAAACTTTTTCTGCTTGCATGTCCCTTTTTTTCAGACGCTCTTTTTCTGACCTTTCCTGTTTCACCTCAAGCACCAAGGCATCCACTGAGCGATTCGTGTTTCTTTTCATGTCTTCCATTTTTTTTAATTGAGTCTCAAGTTCTCTTATTCTTCTAGACTGCTGTTCGAGGCGGTCCTTGTCACATCTTTCCTGCGTTATCTCTTCGATTAAATTTTTGATCGTTTCATCTTGCTTCTTTATGATGCGGTAATCTTCCTCCATTTCCTTCTCTTTGCTGTCCACAGACGCCGTTGCTGCCTCAGTTACATTTTTCAACTGATTCTCTAAAAGTTGGACTTTTTCTCTTAGTTCAATCAACTGGTCATCCTTTTCGTAAGCCTTTGATAGTCTTGCAGTCAAAGTGCAGTTCTCTCTCCTCAACCTTGTTAGATGATCTTCAAGTGTTTTTGTTACACTCGATTTTTTACATCTTAACTCATACAAATGGTGATCTTTTTCTGATTCCTTTGATAGTTCCGATGACAATGCAGACTTTTCTTGTTGTAACTTTGCGATGTCATCTTTAAGATCACTAATAGTCTTTGATGTTTCGTATTCTAGCTTATGCAACTCCGTCGTCTTCGTGGCATTTTCGTTCTTAAGAATCTCTATTTCTCTTTTCATGTTCTGTGCAGCATGTTGAAGGCTACAGCTTTCTTCTTTAAACGCGTCCACTTGGCTCTCCAACAGAGTTACTCTCTGTTCTTTTAATTCCAGGGATC